ACCCGCAGGAAGGTGAGGGTCTCCCCCCCGACCCCGTGACCTTCTGGCGGGCGAGCCGCCGGGAAAGCTGGCTGCGGTTGCAAGGCCGGGGCTGGGCTTTTCCCTGGGAGCGCTTTCCCCGAGCAGGAGCCGCAGACCCAGGCAGCTTCCCGCGGGGGAGCCGCGTCCTCGGTCCCGCCTATCCGGCTTGGCGCTTCAGCTTCGTCCCCTTCCCTGCCTCGCCCGCTGCCAGCAGCCTCTTCCCCGCGTTTCGACTCCCTCGCGATAATGCCCGTCTCTCCCCTCCTTCCCAGCTCCTCACCTTCTTTCTCCTCCCCCCCCGACTTTTTCCATCTCTTCCACTCCAAGCAGGCTCTTAAACACAAACACACACACACACACAGAGTCCTGGGGTGTGTCTGGCTGGGCATGAGAAAGCGCGGGCATGACAGAAGACACCCACTTGGGCATGAAGGTAGACTGGAAGCAGTTCAATTCAGGACTTACTACCGATTAATAGTCTTGTTCCTGTGAATTGTAATTTTGAAAGTGTGTCCTCTAGCCAATGTATGCACGCACGGGATCATATATAGAAATACTCGTGTGCCAAACACACTAACTTGTTGGGAGGGCAACTTCCAAGTAAGCAAAACGAGTTTCCTTAATAGTTTGCTGGATTGCAGGGCAGAAGGGGAGATACTTTATTGTGTCAGCAGGAGGCAACATAGAGTGGAAGGCAGTCACCCCTGGCCACCACGAGGGAGGCCCTGTTCCTAGCAAAGGTCTTCCTTCGATAGGTTGCTACTGGGGTCACCCCAACTAGATGGACCAGGCCAGGAAATCAACTCCACTGGAAGGCTAAACTACTTTGATTGAGGTTGGCTATGACAACAGAGCCTTGCAAACCTGATTGGGCTGTCCATCCTCCTCCTCCTCATATTTCACTGAATTAGGAAGACCTGAGTCACCTCTGAGGAATGTTATCTCCTGGTTCTGGACATAAAAATGCTTCAGCCTCTTTTGCCTAGGTCAGTGTTTTTCAACCATGGCAGCTTTAAGATGCGCGGACTTCAACTCCTAGCATGCTGGCTGGGGAATTCTGGGCACTGAAGTCCACTTTTCTTAAAGTTGCTGAGGTTGAAAAACATTGGCCCTGGCAATGGTTCCTGCATATTCTCTGTCCAGGTCATCTTCCTTACTCTCTACAACTGGGACAGGAAGTGATCATACCAGGGGCAATCCACATGCAAGTTCAGGAAAGGATGATTTGCTGCTCTCCAACAGATCTGCAGAAAGGAGATCTCTTTTCTTCACCTACCACTCTGCCTTCTGCCCCCTCTTACTTTCTGATGAACAACTCTTCCTTTCCACCATTTTTTTATTTAAAAAAAACGGTTTCCCTTACTCTTGGGCAGGGCATTCGAATACAGGTCATACCAGCTAAAATCCATATTTTCTGTTCAGTTTGAACATTGTATGACTCAGCTATAACTTGAATATTTGTGAATGAAAACATATTAGAAAAGGGTGAGCCAGTGCTGCAGCCTCTTAATCAGGAGCTTGGCCAACTGATTAAGGAGAGGGCTGCAGACGGATGGGGGAGAGGCTTTCACAGAGGATTTTGCAGGCAAGGCCAGTTGTGCTCAGGCCTCCACCTGGCATGGTATGGAGCCTTCAGAGCTGAGTAAGTTTAAAGGAAATGAAATCCAAGTAAATGCTGGATGTCTTGAAACTTCCCAGCACATGGAGGTTGTAAAGCAAAAAGAACTTTGTGGAGGAAGGGAGATACAAATCCTACTTGAGAAAGGAAAATGCGATGCAGAGCCAAGCATTCAATTATTGGTTAAGGCTGCAATGCTTGCTTCTAAAGAACAGCAGTGCTGGGTTAAACCTAACCCTGCTTCCACCCTCAGCATGCTTTCCCTCCTCTAGTTTGCAAGGAAGTGTTCCTTATTTAAATTAAAATGTGGTGTTTCTTTTCAAGACAGTAAGGGACATGGTTTGTTCCTATGTTTATTTTGGGACCTTGAAGACTGGGCCACAGGTGGTGCCTTCACTCTGCAGGCCTCCAGAAAACCATTTTTGCCCTGGGGGCGCAGATGGCAAAAATGTTAAGTAACCCTACTGCAAGCTGCTTGGAGAATAAGGAAATCAGTGCTTGTAAACTGCTGCTGTATTCTGCACCATGCCACAGTGGACCTGGCTACACGTGCAGTTATTCTTGACACCTGACCAGAAAAAGTTGCTGGACGCAGGCTGAGATGTTGGCCATCAGGCCAGCTAAGGAGAATTTGCTTCTGGGGCACTGTTAATCTGTCTATAATAAGTTAGGGAAAGCAGGCAGAGCAGGACAGTGGAATCTTTTCCCAACCTCTTTAAAATAGCTCTACTCCAGGTCACATGACTGAGAAGAAAGAGGGAGGGGCTTAGAATGGAAGAGCAGAGAAGGTGTTGAGCCCCATAGGGATGTAAAGGGGATGTGTGTGTGGGAGGGAGGGTTGTTAGATTTTTTTTTTCCTCTGCAGCCTCCAGCTCAGATTTGAGCCATATTCAGACTCAATCTTTCTGTTGCTGGCTTCTCTTTCCACCCCCAAGTTTAGTCTAGTTCTGTTATCTTTCCTGCTGGCCAACAGAGAGGCAGACTGAGCCCCCTGCAAGCCTTTTACATAATTTCTTGCCAACATTTGGTTTGGCTGGAAAGAATAAAAGGGCAAAATAAGGAGGCGTGGAGCAAATATTCTCCAACTCCCCAAGGGGCCAGTTGAGTGTAGAAGATTGAAATGCAGCAGAGGAAAAGTTATGTGATATTTAGAAATTACAAATTGATCTGGTTTAAAAGTATTCGTTAAATTTTCTATCAGAATGTGAATAGAGATTCTGCTGTGTTCAGCTTGATGGGCCAGGTCTAAGACCCCTGATCTAAGTTCTGCCTTGGCTTAGTCATAGCCAGAACTAGCAACAGCTACGTACTGCCATAGGTTGTTTCTATGCTATTTACCCAAAAGGAGTTACAGTGATCAAAGTTTAAGGGGCAAGTTGAGTGAAGATGTATTTTTACCCAGTCACGGCCCAAGCCAACATCTCTATAGAATGCAGTGCCAGTCTACCAGATGGGGAGCGGTGTGCCCACAGTAAATTTAAGTACTCACTGAGAGATAAACAGATCCCTGTCCCAGCCATGTCA